GTGTGGCGTGTGCGTGTGCGTGTGCGTGTGCGTGTGCGTGTGCGTGTGCGTGTGCGTGTGCGTGTGCGTGTGCGTGTGCGTGCGTGCGTGCGTGCGTGCGTGAGTGCGTGCGTGCGTGCGTGCGTGCGTGCGTGCGTGCGTGCGTGCGTGCGTGCGTGGGTGGGTGGGTGGGTGGGTGGGTGGTTGGGTGGGTGGGTGGGTGTGGGTGTGGGTGTGGGTGTGGGTGTGTGTGTGTGTGCGGGCGTGTGTGTGTGTGCGTGTGTGCGTGTGCGTGTGCGTGTGTTGCGTGTGTGTGTGTGTGTGTCGTACTCCTGCTGCGCAGCTGGGAGGGAAGAGGAGAAGGAGCACCGCAGCAAGCAGCGGCATGGAGGCGGAGGGAGCTACAGTTAAGTCGGGCGTGTCCCCCTACAGGGGGATTTTCGACGAAATATAAAAACCCGAAAAATACTCCAAAATGGTCAAAAAATACTCCAACAAAATATAGTCCCCCGACTATTTTTCGACTATTTTTGAATTTTCCCCCTGTAGAGGGGCAGGCCCGACGAAAGCTTCAGGACAGGGGAGGTCGACGGATCAGCAGCCCCCCTGCGGCAGGGTCGTGTCGTGACGACCCTGCCGCTGGTTTCTGAGACCACGGGGATCGTTCAAACCACGGGGATCGTGTTTCTGTCGTGTCGTCCAAACCGCGGGGATCGCTCAGACCACGGGGATCGTTCCAACCACCCTGCCCCCTGCCGCTGGTTTCTGAGACCACGGGGATCGCTCAAACTTGAGCGATCGGCCGTTTCCGAAACGCCAGATCCTTCAGCATGGATCGATTCTGGGTCGCCGGCGGCGTTCAGCACTGAACGCCGGCGGCGGGGTCGCCGATGATGGGCCTGTTTTCCACCACCACCACCATAAGTTGGAGGGGGGAAGGAGGTGGAGAAGGAGGAGGAGGAGGAGGACGAGGAGGAGGAGGAGGAGGAGGAGGAGGACCCCCTCCCCCTCCAACTCATGGTGGTGGTGGTGGTGGAAAACGACGGTCGACACGACGCGAACCCGCCGTACTCGGGCCGCGCTCCTTGTAGTGCTCGACGCCCTTCGGCCCGCCCGAGCACCGCCCCTGGAGCCGACGGGGCGCCGGGGATCCCCAACTCCGACGGGGGGGGGGCGGGGGAAGGGGGCGGGGAGGGGGGAGGCCGGAGGGCAGCGGGGAAGGGCGGGCGGGGCCAGGGCCCGGGAACTCCTCCTCCTCCCTCCTCCTCCTCCTCCTCCTCCTCCGCCTCCTCCTCCTCCTCCTCCTCCCCCATCCTCCTCCTCCTCCTCTCCTCCTCCTCTCCTACCCCCTCCTCCTCCTCCTCCTCACTCCTCCTCCTCCTCCGCCTCCTCCCTCCTCCTCCGCCTCCTCCTGCTCCTCCTCCCCTGCTCCGCCTCGGAGTCTTGATGCCCCTCATCCTCCTCCTCCTCTACTCCTCCCTCCTGCATCCTCCTCATCCTCCTCCTCCGCCTCCTCCTCCCCCCTCCTCCTCCGCCAGGTGGCTCCTGCGCGCCCCCCCCCCCCCCCCCCCCCCCCCCGCAGCCGTTGGCCCGCGGGGGTGCGGGGCGCCCGCCGTCGGGGGAGCCCCCAGCCCCAGGCGTCCTGCGCCTGGCGTGGCGCGGCTGCAGCGGGCTGGCGCCCGCCGCTCGCCGGCTGCCATCCTGGTCGACCGCGCGGCTCGCAGGGTGGCCCCGCTGGTGCGAGGCACCTCGTCGCAGGGACGGTCGCGCTCGCCAGCTTCGCACTGAAGTGTGCGCAGGCATCGTGCTGTGGCTCGTCGCCGTCTCAGGCACGACACGGACGAGAGCCTGCTTACCCAACACCACGGCTCGAGACCGCCCATTGGCCGCGGCGGTCGGGGTCGAGGGTCTCAAGGTGAGGCGCGTGACGGCGCTGAGAAAGGGGCGCGCTGGGCCTGCGTGGCGACCCGTCAGGTGCGGCTATCAGCGCAACTTTAGTGCTAATGAGCAGTTCTGGGTGCGTGGCCGGGACAAGGTGGGCAGGCCCCGACACCAGTGGCGCCCAGCCTGCAGGAGCGCGAAGGCGATCGGCTTCAGGCTCCAGGCGCAGGGACGGCACTGCTGAACCCGAGGAGCTTGACGAGGTCACCAAGGCCCGCCACGCCCTCGCCGCCTCACGTCGGCCGCAGCTTGGTGGGGACAGCGAAGTGCTGGTCAGCGCCAGGCGCCGGCTGGCCGCGGCAGAGGAGCGAGCGGGCGGCGAAGGAGGGCGAACTCCACGCCGCCGAGGCCGAGCTGGGCGCCACCCACCTCGTGGTCGCGACCGCCTGCAGCGCTGTCACGGCTGCAGGTGCTGAGCCCAGCTCACCAGGTGGACTCGAGGAGGCACTCGGCCGCCTCAGAGGCATTGTCGATGCCGCCCCTGCGGCCGGCGGTCACGGCAGGCAACGCAGCTGCGATGCTCGATTCGCTCAACGTCCATCTCACGGAGCTCCAGCCGGCCCTCGCCATGCATGGGCGGGCTACTGTCAGAGACCCGGCAGCAGCGTTGGGCGGCCAGATCCTTCCCGCTAGCCACGCTGGCCCTCCTGTTGTTGGAGGCCTGGAAATTGGCACCAACACCAGCACAGGGGGTTGCCTCCACATGGGGAACATGATCCTAGACTTCGGTGTCAGTGGTAATAGTTCGGTCACCTGGGAAGCCAGAATATTGCCACCATCACCGAGATCGGGATCGTCTTCCCTCGGTGGAGGCACACCGCCGATCCTGGTGTTGGTGCCGTCAACCTCTAGGCCTGCGATGTTGGAGGCAGCTCTGGCACAGGCGACGCACATCCATGGGAAGATCAGATCGGGCAGGACCGGACCCGGCCACGCCGGGCCGTCCCCTTTCGGGGGCGACGCGCACCAACGCCTGACGGCCTCGTTGAGGACATGACTTACGCGAGGTGCTGCGTCGACGGCCAGCAGAAGGCGACTCGGATACCGCTGATCACATGGTTTCGAGCACACACACACACACACGAGTGCAATTTTGAGGCCACACTTGGCCGCAGGACCTGCGGGGAGTGTTGGAGATGCTACTGGGAGTGGTGCTCGGACCCATACCGCATATAATACCGCATGCTCCACACCGCGCGATCCAATGGCACCAGATCATAATGCGGCTGCAGTTATGTTGGGATCCCTGAGTGATGGCGATTCGTTCGGGACCACGCGTGCAGAAGGATCTGCCGGTGTCAGCATCGCAGTTCCTGGAGTGCATGGAGCACCTACGTCTACCCGGGCCCCTCTGCATGTCGTCGCAGGGTCGCCCCCGCGCAGTCGAGACCACCGACGGGCGAGCCCGCTCCCTGGAGCGCGCGAGGCGGGCCGCCCCCCTCGAGCGCGCTGGCCAAATCGGGGGCTCCCAGCGGGGAGGTGGCCGATGCCCCCCGGCCGGCGGGGCTGCGTCGGGGCGCGGAGACTCGCCCGCGCCCCCGGCCGGCACACTGCTGCGTGCCGGTGCTGGGTCGCCCCCGCCTGCGAGACCACCGACGGAGGGGTCCGCCCTCGGGGACGCCCGAGGAGATCGTTCCCCCTCGGGCGCGGCGACCAGGGCAGGGGCCCCCGACGGGGAGGAGGTCGCCGCCTCCTGCCCCGGTGGCGGCGCAGGGGCAGGGCGCAGCGAGCTTGGGCCGCACGGACTCGCCGACGGACCCGCACGGCCCCCACGGGCCCCATGCGCATGTCGTCGCAGGGCTGCCCGCACTCTCGAGGCCACCGTCGAGTGGGTCCGCTCCCTGGAACGCACGAGGCGGTCTGTCCCCCCCGAGTGCGTTGACCAGGTCGGGGGCCCCCGACGGGGAGGTGGCCGATGCCGCCCTGGCCTGGTGGTGATGCTGCATCGGGGTGCGGAAGTCCGCCCTTGCTGCTACTGGCCCGTGCTCCGTCGCACGTTGCCGCTGGGTCGCCCACGCACACGGGGCCGTCGACGGGTGGGACCGCCCTCGGGGACTCGCGAGGTGATCATCCCCCCTCGTGCGCGGCGACCTGGGCAGGGGGCCCCGACAGGGAGGTGGTCGAGCCCCCTGGTGGTCGAAGCCCCCTGGTCGAAGCCCCCTGGGAGGGCTGCAGCAGGTGGCCCGTCTGACGACACACGCGTGAAAGGCAGGAGACACTGGAGGCGGGCGCGGAAGGCTACGCACGCCAACGCTGGTTTCAACGTGGTGACCTTCAGACCCAGTGGGTGGCCGCAAGCAAAGAACCTGTTGGCAACTGTCACGTGCGCGTCCACCGTTTGCACTCAGGAGCGCAAGCTTCGTGGCGATGCCTACACTGGAGCCCTCGAGTGGGCCTTGAAGCATGGTTGGAAGCCTTTCATGGCCCAGGCCCTGCCAGAGGACGGCCAATCCAGCAAGGGTGGAGAGGCATCTTCGTCAGGTCCCACGTCGGCGTCACCGTGCCATCGGGGTCGAGCTCCCACGAGGTCGTACCAGGGTATTGCGTCAGTATCCACATACATGCGGTCCCGCGCCATGGCTTCCTGGCTGGACCAGTAGCAAGGCCACAGACCCGAATCGTGCTCCCGCTGCAGCGCTGGCCTCATGTCCGCGCTTCCGCTCGTTCCGAATCGTGTTCCCGCTGCAGCGTTGGCGCCATGATTTCCAGCGCCATGCCATGGCGTGGTTCTCAGTCCTGCCACTTAAGCTCCAAAATCTAAAAAAATGCCCCCCCCCCCCCCCCCCGAAAAAAACATCGGAAGTGTTTACATATTCGGTGTCGATTCGTTGATGTTTTGTGCCGCAAAAGCTCCCCACCTTGGGACGTCGCCACACCATTCTATGTCAGGCTGCGGGTTGATCTTCAACACTATGCCATGCCATATTGTGATATACCCTGTTACGACATCCGACTGCGAATAGCAGAGAGGATCTACGCCGGAGGTGAGGGATGGGAGTGGAGGTGGGGGTAGGACTCAGATATGGCGCGAACGCATCTAGTTTGGCCCCGTTCCCCTCTCCCCACCCCCTTATCCCTTCCCCCCTCCCTCTCGCCCCTCCCCTCTCCCCCTCCCCCTCCGCCCTCCCTCCTCCTCCCTCCCCCTCCCCTCCCCTCACCCTCCCCTCCCCCTCCCCCTCCACCCCTCCCCCTCCCCTCCCCTCCGCCCTCCCCCTCCCCCTCCCCTCCCCCCCCTCCCCCTCCCTCCCTCCCCCTCCCCCTCCCCCTCCTCCTCGTCCTCTTCCTCCTCCTCCTCCGCTTCTTTCTTCTGCGCTACTGCCTGAGGCGCAACCGAAGTTCACTTCGGCACCTCTAGAAGAAATAGAGACCCGCCTTGTCCTCGTCCGTGTCAGTCATGTGCTAGAACACGTCGGGGAGGCGGCCTCTCCTCAAAACGTCGAATCAGGCCATCGTTCCACCCCTTTGGGGAGGTTCCCAAGGTCAATGGCCTTGAGGGTGGCCCGACCGTCTTTCGAAAGGCGCCGATCACACTTCCTGGCGAGTCGGACGAATTTCTCTACCCCCTGTGCTCCGCACAAGCGGCAAAACCAAAGGCCTCGGAAGCTCTCGATCCGGTGCGAGTCATCAATCACGGACGGGCGCCCAGGGCAAGATGAGGTCGAGAACTCCTCCAGGGATCTCTTCCCCACTGTGACTAAGCAATGTGCACACTTCCAGCCCTTGGAGGTTTGAAAGATTCGATGCGAAGATTCCCTCATGAGCTGAGGGGTCTGTTCAGCCTTGGCCTTTGCCTTGGCTACAGCTCTAGCATGGATGTCGCCTTTCAAAGTGGTTCCGTAAAAATCTCTAGCATTCTTCGCAACCTCCAGGGCAACTAAACTCAATCGTTTTTGAACACGCCAGGCCAACTTATCGGCCTCCTGCACTTTCCCTACCAAACTGTAGGGGGGTTTGGCTTCCTCCGCGGCTTTGTCGGCCAACTTGTCGGCCTGATCGTTGGCAAACCAGTGTTCTAGAGGAAAACCAGGACCCACCGCCGAACGCTCAAGGTGACTCTTGACCTTGACTAGTGACAACGTACCAGGGCGGTCCACGACCGCCTTCCAGTATTCGGCCCAGAGATCTGCATTACTTCTGTACTTATACCCAGGGCCATGCTTGGCCCCTTGGAAAACATAAGCCGCGTCAACTACATAAGTGGCATCCCCAGCTGTGGCTTGGAGAGCTCTGACAACTGCTAGCAGCTCGGCTCGGGGAACGGTCTGTCTCCAGCCTGCCGTACTCCCTCGGCAAGAGGCTAAGACAGACTCACCCAGACAAATGGCGAAGGCCCAACCAACACGGCGCAAACGAGGATCCGACCCGTGCTCTCCCCCAGAGCCGTCACCGCCTATTACACATCCTACTGGGAGTATATATCTCTGCCCATCCTCAGGCCACTCTCCCTCTCTGCAAATATCTTCTATAGGGAGAGGGGTGTCCTCAGGCGGCATCGTCCACAAAATCGGAACGAGGCCTCGGAGCCAGAAGCATGGGTAAGTTTCAGCCCCTACCTTGGCTTGCTCGCAGAGGCGGTTGTCTTCTTCTAAATCGGGAATGTCTCTATTGAAGGGGCATTCCCAAAGCTGATGATATAACGTTTCATTAGGTGCGCCGCATCTAGGACATGCCGTGCTGCCTATTCCTGTGTTCTCGAAACGCCGCTGGTTGGGCCACAAGGCCCCTTGGGAAACCATCTCCAGAATGGCAGCCCTATGGCTTAAGCCTTTATTGCGCAAAAGCTTCAAATGGGCCCAAGTCACAGTTAAGTCCACCCCGTACTCAACCCCCGAGCCCGAGAAATGCTGGCTGGCTTGGGCCCAAATACCCTGTTCCAGGGAAGATCCTACTTCAAAGTCGAGCCTGTCGAGGCCCTCTGCTTCTTGAAAACTAAACCTGAGCCCACAAGGAATGGTCCATTCCCCTGGTGTGTTGGGAATCCAATTCATATCTAAAAGAGTGGCTTGCACTGCCGCCATGTGCCCCTTGACCTGCAGCCAGCGATGCTCCGACTCCCTCAGCTTGGCCAAGGACTCGTCCCAGGCTTTGTCGATGGCGGCACGCCACTCGGGGATCCTAGGGAGATGTTCCTGCCAGGCCTGCAAAAGTTCAAGAGGTCCCCAAAAAAGGGGGTCACTGCGTTTCCCAAGACTAATCCTAATGGCAGCTCCTCCTCCTCCTCGTCCTCCTCCTCCTCCTCCTCCTCCTCCTCCTCCTCCTCCTCCTCCTCCCTCCTCCCCCTCCTCCCCTCCTCCTCCTCCTCTCTCCTCCTCCCTCCTCCTCCTCCTCCTCCTTCCTCCTCCTCCTCCTCCTGCCTCCCTCCTCCTCCTCTCCTCCTCCTCCTGCCTCCTCTCTCTCTCCTCCTCCTCCTCCCTCCTCCTCCTCCTCCGCCTCCTCCTCCTCCTCCTCCTCCTCCTCCTCTCCTCCTCCTCCTCCTCCTCCTCCCCTCCTCCTCCTCTCTCCTCCTCCTCCTCCTCCTCCTCCTCCTCCTCCTCTCCTCCTCCTTCCTCCTCCTCCTCCTCCTCCTCCCTCCTCCCTCCTCCTCCTCTCCTCCATCCTCAATCCTCATCCTCCATCCTCCAACCTCAATCCTCCATCCTCCATCCTCCATCCTCCTAATCCCATCTCCATCCTCATCCTCCATCCTCATCCTCCATCCTCCATCCTCATAATCCGATCCTCCATCCTCCATCCTCCATCCTCCATCCTCCACCTCCATCCTCCATCCTCCATCCTCATCCTCCATCCTCCACCTCCATCCCTCCTCCTCCTCCTCCTCCTCCCTCCCCTCCTCCATGCTCCCTCACTCCTTCCTCCCTCCTCCCTCCTCCTCCTCCCGTCCCCCCTCTTCCCTCCTCCATCCTCCCGCCTCCTCCTCCCTCCTCTTGTTTCCCACCTCCCACCTCCCATCTGATCCCACTTCGCTTCCTCCGCCGTCCTCCTCCCTCCTCCTCCTCCTCTCCTCCTCCTCCTCCTCCTCCCTCCCTCCCTCCCTCCCTCCCTTGCTCCTTCCCTCCACAATTACACGATATGAATACTACTATCCTCTCCCCCCTAGTGACGTCAGAAGATATCCGGCACCCCTTCGCGCATTGTTTTTTTACACCCAGGAGTCCTGGGAGCTGGGTTTTCGCTTGAGCTCTGTTTGAAATTCTTGCTCCCACTAAAGCGCTGGCCTCATTTTCGGGTTTCCGCTCATTCCGAATCATGTTCCTGCAGCAGCGCTGGCCTCATTTCCGCCCTTCCGGTCGTTCCGAATCGTGTTTCCACTGCAACGCTGGCCTCATTTCCGCGCTTTCGCTCGTTCCGAATCGCGCTCCCGCTGCAGCACTGGCGTCATTATTTCCAGCGCTATGCCACGGCATGGTCTCGGTCTTTCCAAATAGTCCCCAAAATCTAAAAAACTGTTCATTGCAGCAGGGGCTCCTTCTTGCACAATGCAACATGGGTGGTAGCTTGGCGCCGAAGCGGGATCGTGCGTCCCCTGCAGGCGCCGAGAACAAGGCGGCGCCTTCTGGCGCCGGTCTGGAGCCTGTCCTGCGCGGGTCCGCGACAAAAAGCCGACCCCTACCGGCGCAACGGCAACGGTAGCACAGGGTCGTGTCGCACCCACCCCGTTTATCACCAGTGATAGTATTAGTATTACTGTTGTTACTGTCTGTATGGTTAATAGTAGTACTATGAATACTAGTAGTAGTGTTGATGGTGGAACTAGTATGCTTAACAACCGTACTACTAGTATTACTCACAGAATGTATTATGATTAGTAGTATTAGTCCTGCTGTCGCATTAGCAATAGTAGTAGTAGTAGTAGTAGTAGTAGTAGTAGTAGTAGTAGTAGTAGTAGTAGTAGTGGTGGTGGTAGTAGTAGTAGTAGTAGTAGTAGTCGTCGTATTACCACGACTAGAATTAACAGTAGTAGTTGTAGTAATAGAAGGTTTACGAGTAGCCGCATTAGTGTTAGCATGGTCATCATAATTCACAGTAATGGTAGGACCAGTAGTAACATGATCATTCGCGGTAGTACTAGTATTACGATGTATCCATACTGGTAGTACTACAAGTACTGGTGTTAACATATAAATGTTCAGTTAATTATATGATGCTTAGTAGTACTACTATTAAGATTACAGTGAATGACAATGGTAATGATATTAACACTGCTGCTAAAGACTTAGTAGTAGTCGTATTCGTATTGCTACTGATCGTGTTAGTAGCCTGGCTACTATTAGGAACAACAAGAGAATCCGTATGATTGAAAGCATGGTTGGTATTAGTACGTGCACGAGTAATCATAATACTATACAGTAATGTTGGTACTATGGTATTCGTGTTATTCGGTTGACTATTCGTAGTATTGCATATTAGTGGTACTAATCCGACGAATGATAGTTATAACAATTCCAGTGTTATTACTACAACGAATAGAAAGAGTAGCATACGAGTGTTCAAAAGAATGTACTACTAGTCTTACTACTTGCAGTAGCAGTCGTAGTAGTAGTAGTAATCATAAAAATAACAGGAATAGTAGTAGTAGGAATATTGGTAGTAGTATGGATGTTGCTTGCATTATGATGGCTGGTAACAATAACAAAACTAGTGTGGCCAGCTGTACGATTATGAGTGATACAACTACTACCATGACGAATGTGTTTAGAAGTAGTATTGCCATTATTAATATTGGTAGTACTCTGATTCATAATATTCTTCGTATGCTTAGTAGTATTCGTCCTCTCCTGATTCTTAACAAGGTTTCTCTTCCTCCTGCTGCTCCTCCTCCTCCTCCTCCTGCTCCTGGTCCTCCTCCTCCTCCTCCTGCTCATGCTCCTCCTCCTCCTCCTCCTCCTCCTCCTTCTGCTGCTCCTGGTCATGCTCCCCCCTCCTCCTCCTCCTCCTCCCCTCCTCCTCCTCCTCCTCTCCTCCTCCTCCTCCTCCTCCTCCTCCTCCTCCTCCTCCTCCTCCTCCTCCTCCTCCTCCTCCTCCTCCTGCGGGGCGCGAGGGCGGGCGCGGGGCGCGGGCTCGCCTCGCCCCTGCGGACCGCGGCACGGGGAGAGCGCCCCGCAGCCTGGGCCCGAGCCGCCCGAGGAGGAGGAGGAGGAGCAGCAGCAGGAGGAGGAGCAGAAGGAGGAGGAGGTACGGAGAAGGAAAGGAGGAGGAGGACGAGGAGGAGGCGGAGGAGGCGGAGGAGGAGGAGGAGGAGGAGGAGAGGAGGAGGAGCAGGTAGGAGGAAGTGAGGGAGAAGGCAGGGGGCAGGAGGGGCAGGAACGAAAGGATGAAAGAGGTGGAGAGGGATTTGGACAGGAGGAGGGGGGTGGAGGAGGAGGAGGAGGTGGAGGAGGAGGAGGAGGAGGAGGAGGAGGAGGAGGAGGAGGAGGAGGACTAGGACAAAGACGAGGAGGAGAAGGAGGGGGAGGAGGAGGAATGGACGAGGAACAAAAGAAGGAGGAACACGGAGGAGGAGGAGGAGGAGGAGCTTTGAGGTTAAGCGGTTTGGGGGGCGAGTCCGACCGGCAAGGCGCAATGGGCCCCGGGATCGGTTGAAATGCATCTGCAAGAAGATGGCCGGGCAGCTCT